GAGAGGAGCTTGATAGCTAAAGGCTCTGCCTCCCATTCTGCTTCTGTGGACTCTAGGAACCACAAGCAGACCTGCACTCTGAGAGCGAAGTGCTCTGTTAGGATGATAAGGCTCTATGAGGTCTTTAAGATACAATGGAGCCTTGTAAATCATACTGCAGGGAAACTGGATTCAAATCTGTGGTGTGAGTGTTTGCAGAACCTGTTTGGTCTGTGTAGCTGATTGGTCTTTCTAGTGCAGGTGTGTGTTTTATTTGTTTAAGGATCAAGTGTGTCAAGGGCCAGAAAGTAGAGAAGCCTGGATTTAGAGATTAGTTGATTAAACTTTGATTAAATTAGGTCTATGCCACTAAAACATTTAGTAAATGTTATGAGAAGCTGGTGGACATGGTCAAATAAGAAACATTTGAGTTCAATTAAGGGCCAATCATATTGTGTGCTTGCAAAGTAATAGATATAAATAACTGATTTCACCCTTTATGTGAATGAGAATGCATTTAGCTCAAAGCTGTTGATTTTTCTTTAACACTTTTTTACACTCTCTGTTCTCCACATTTCATTCCATCTTCACCAAACCTCGTGCATGCGGTACTATATTTGGACAACAACATACCACGGAGGTTTTATAGTGTCCCTTAGTGTTTTCCTACAATGGGAAAGCATTGTTTTATGGGAATAAAATGGTATGCAGTAACTCTTGAATACAATGTTCAATTTCAATGAAATTTGGGTAAAATAAGCACACACAGTTTCTGAGCAACCATGAAAATTTCATGCAGTGTCACCAGGTATTGATAAAGTACACATAAATATGTAAATTTCAGTAGTTTTCATATCCTCCATATTCTACCAGTCTTCACCAAACTTGGTACATAACCTTTTTACCCAGGAGTTATGGTAAAATTCGTTTCACCAAAAGCCCAAAATTGGTCATCAAAGTGGATCCAGGTCGTTTAGAGGTGTTTGGGTTTGATGATCTGTTTCAGCTAAAACATATATTTCTTTCCCATGTCATGTTGTCCTGCTTTCACAGAGGCATGCCCTGAAAGGTGCAAAGCACAGTTAGTGTAATCATGCATGTACTAATGTGTTCACAATGAAGGTGATTTAACAAAAAAAAAGAACAAGAATTTAAGGAAATGCATTTTTTTTATTCAAAGTACCAATGTTTATGGTAAATTAGCAAATTTTAAATGCACTCCAGATAATCTCAGCCAAAAAAATAAATAAAGCAACAGTAGTTTACACACTGAATATAACAGCACAGAAAGTATGATAAATATAAGAATAAAACAGTCACTGAATTAGGATGTTTGTTTTTGTACCTTACATACTGCATGGATCATTTTGCTTTTTAAACTGAAATTTTTTATATATTGAATACAAGCACGTTAATGAGAAATAAATTATCGTGCCAACATGCAAAACTGGATTTTTCTGATGAACAGTATTTACATATAAAACAATTTATACATGGCTAAAATTGTATCACAAAACTATATGTGCTTAATTGTCCCATTAAAAAACTTGTAACATTAATAACTGAGCTAAATTATCTTACTATGGGGGCTTATTCCTATTCAGACTTGTTGCTTTCATGTTCACATTTAGTAATGCTTTCTCTCTTTGCACTCAAACTGTACCTGATCACAAGCAGATTTGATTTGCTTGTGCTCAAATTTGTATGTCTGCTGTCACATATAGTGCTGCTTACACAAATTTCCTGTGTTCCCATTTAAACCCGTCTTGCGTTTAGGCTGCTGCTATACAAAACATCAGCTCTTGCTCTCAGACTTTTGTGAACTAACCCTGTCAAAATTCCCCAACCAACAGAAAGCCAGGTATGATGCTGGGCAATGAAATGATCATGGCTTCACTTCAGATACATTCACTTTACCGTACTTCTTAGAGTGTCCCATGTGGGCAGCTACTATCGACCCACTACTGACTTTCTGGTTGCCCCAAAAGAACATTGTAACTAATGCAACAGCTGCAGTAAAACCCCAAAGAAGAAGAAGAATTTGGGTTGCTGCTTGGATTTGGGTAAGTCAGTGTTACAGTAATCTAAATGTGAAAAGTGTGTATTGCTTTGCCTTGCTTGGTAAGTCATTTTGAATTAATTTTATGTCCAAGTCAATCTTTTGAGACCTTAATGATTTTGTCAGTATATACAGATTATTTTAACATTATTTGAACACTGAATGTGAAGGTAAAACCCCGATAAGCGTTTCATACAGGGCCATTACAACAGCTACAGTGTTAGCTTCATTACAATGTATACATTATAACAGTGTGTAAACCAAACAGGAAAGGTTCACTACATTTTAGGGCCCTTTTTACTGTAAAGATTTAACGCTAAGATTGTAAAGCAGAAAACACATTTTCAGTAAAGTCATGAACTACATGAGCATGTTTAGCAGCACTGTCACTTTCTTCTCAATAGAACTGTGTGTGCCACTCTTCAGTCTTTGTTTTGGGTCACTCTTATTTTGGGTTGACTATAAATCTTGTATTTTGGTTGTAGGTTTTCTATACAAGCTAAAAATCACCGACCCTAATAGATGATTGAGATGACACCTGGCACTCCATACATACACCTGCCAGATGTAGCTAATGAAGCTTTTTAAAATGCTTCAGCTGTTCCTACTCTTGCGAAACATCTGTTTTAATAGTAATGTTTACACAAACTACTAAATTTGTTTTACTTTCATCCACTCCCATATCAGTCACTTTATATTCAATATGATAAATGAAAGTTGAATTGACTTGATTATATTAAACTCTTTATAGAGTAATCTGATTATGAGTAAAAGTCAAACATAACTCAAATGTGTGTACCATTTTATTTTGTACAGTACATTATGTAAATTAAAGTATGTGTTGTGTGCATTAAACCTAAAGAATATAATGACTTCCATTACTGTTTTTTCTTTTATGAGGTTATATGAGGAAAAGAAGTGAAATTAAGTTGAACATATGGATTTGCGCACACACCACAGACATGAATACAATTATTTAGCAGATGCAGTTTGTTTAAAGGACTAGGGGTTTTTGATCAGGATATCTGAATTACTGAATTATCCTCATGACACAATACAATGTTCATCCCTCCAGTAGAGCTCAGAGATCAATGCCAAGGCGTGCTGAAGCTGTTCTGGCAGCCCAACACCTTGAATTCATCACCTGTCAGTACTTCTCCAACAAAATGGCTGCAGCTGAAGGGCCAAATCTACTGTATCAAACCCCTATACTGACCGTTGGGGCTATGAGGAAAAGTCAAGTTTCAGTCTCAAGTTTTCATTTTCCTTTGGCTGATGGAAGTCAGATACTGTATATTGATGGATTCTGTCCTGCAGTCATATTTCCCTGCATATTTACGTCTTGCAGGGTGACCCTGTGACTTGTGTGTCTGCACTGTCATGTGCTCACTGTTCATGGGCTGGGAGGTGGGACTGGCAGTTATGGCGAGATCTCAGGAGGCAAAGTAGGAGCTCTGCATCGAGTACAGGTGGTCGATGGGGTTCCCTGCCCGAGGCTGCAAGGAGCCTACATCTTTAGTGACCATAAAGCCATCACTTAGACTTGTCAGAGAAGTGTCACTGTCAATGTCGTGGAAAATGGAGTCATTACCTGGTAAGAGTAAAGAGGTAAAGAGGACAGAGATTCAGGTACAAGCTACAAAGGTAAGACAGTATGTGATTAATAATAATAAAATGAATAAAATCATGCTGTAAATTGGCTGCACATCCACCATGCCACATAGAAAAATCTGAACAAGATACTAATTTCTATGCCACTTCAATGTAAATACTGTATGACTAAGTGCTGTCTGGCTCTGCAGCTAGAGTGTGATGCTCACTGTAAGGGTTCATGTGGTCGCCAGGCATTTGTGGTGGGGTGAGGCCCTGCTGGAAGGGGTCAGGGTTGTATCTGTTGCTCTCCATGGTCACCAAATGCTGCTGCTGGTTTGGAGGTAGAGGCCCCGAGTAGGAGCTGAGCAGACTGTCCATACAACCAGATATCCCCTCTGTCAATCAGTGGCAACAAGTGACAGCAGGGTTACCATTATCAGCAGTAGTAATTGCATACAACATGCAGACATTGTCTTCTTGTGTTTATTAGGGTATCTCACTTTCACCCACCCTCATGTCTCTGTTAACTATTTTCATTTTAATTTCTTAACCAACAGTCTTGGGCAGTAGCCCATAACTTAGATTAATGATATTACAGTTAATATTTCCAATATTTGACATTTTGGGAGTTGGCTTGTTTGCCATCCCACTGGGAGATAATGAGAAGAAATGAAGCCGCTAGTAATTCCAAAGTTGTTTTATTCACAAAAGGTGTGTTCTTAGCTGACTTGCTAATGTTAGCCACAAATATACTTGTAGGAGTCACCCAGGTTTGTTTGGAGTTGAAGGCTGTGTATCCATATTTCTGAGTTTTGGATGTGCGGACAGTAATATGGTGAGTAAATTGCTTTTGCTGCTGATATGTACTTACTTTTTAATGAGTAATGTGCTCTGATGATCTAATTAGTTTTCTACAAGATGGTTGCTTCAGTGTTGACTGACTAAATGTTTTTCTGTGAATTGCAGTAGTAGTTTAAGCCTTTGAAAGATATTGATCGAGAAGATGTTAATGCATCAGTTGTACATAACAGGTCACCTTTACACTTGTCATTTCAACTGCCTTGTATCCACATAATAGACACTTGTATTTACTCTAGACTAGTCAGTCTAAATACGGTACAAGTGTACTTAAGTCCAGAGGGGCGGTCATCATGCACCACAAGCTGCTTGGCAGCTGACAAAAATTGCCATAAGAAGAAGACGGTTTAGCACTTTATGTACAGCAACAACAATTAATCTATCACAAACACATGGGCTTGCAGTCCATTCATGTGAGTTGTGTGCTGGTCTCTTGGTTGCCTTTATTATTAATTTGATATCAGATTACTTTTCAAATTGATATCCAATTACATCTGGATTTTATACTGCTGTCAGGATAAAATGACAAGTATAAATGCAGTAGGTCTTAATTGACTAAATCAGTATTTTCTGGGTGTGTATGTGTGTGTTATTGTACTTGCTATATAGTGAGGCCCAAAATGTTTTTTTCTTCTCACATTTCGAAACACCTTTTTGAGGGTTAGGACTTGGTTTTAGAGCTCAGGTTAGATTAAGCATTTAGGTCTGATGATTAAGGTTAGGATAGGGGGCTAGGGAATGCACTATGTCAGTGAGTGTCCTCATAAAGACAGAAGTGCAAGTGTGTGTTGGGGGGCCTGGTATTACTTGTATTGTGGGGATGTAAATCTGTGTACACAGTCACACTGTGGGGACTCAACATCTTTATGGGAACATGCCTCTAAGGAATCCACTAAAAGCTTTCATCTATAGAGCTCTGAATCTGATTGGAATAATTTACCCATATATATTTACTCTTTGTCTTCAAGGAATCGAGATTTTTGTTTGCCATTTATGCATAAACAGACAGTCTAGGCATATAGGAATTCTTGTGCAGCTCTCCTCTGGAGTCAGGTAAGGTAATCGCCTCTGCCTCAGCCATCCCTCCCTCTCCCTGCTCGCTCAGCTCCACCCAGCTCATCCTGAATGCCAAAACCAAGGTCACAGAGCCACATTTACCAGCAAAATTAACCCAGTTAGCAAACACTAGATTCAAAAGGGTTGCTTGGATTTTAAACATATCAGTTTAAATTGAATATTTTGAATAGACGTTCTGCTAATGTCACTTGCTAGCTGTCAGAGAGCTCCATTCACCAATGATCTGCAGCAGTAAACAAAAACAAATGAATATTACTGTGAACAAATGTGATTTACAATGTCTTCAATGTGTAAATATCATTCTGGTGGATGTTGGCATTGCCTTTTTTGTTTTAGCAATCTCAGGGAAATGTTTGACTGTAGCTTTGGTCTTAAATCTATTTGCCCCATTGCAGTGTTGAACAGGAAACAGTGATACACCCTAACCTTTGCTGATAACATATTTTTTGTTTAGTTTCTTCTTGGTCTGTAGCTACGTTATGTGTTGTTTTGTTTTCATTCTCTTCTTGTGAGTGCTTGTTTAGGGACCCCATTGAAAACAAGGTGATACATCTCAAGGGGTTTATTTCAACAAAAAGTCCTAAAAAAGTGAATCATTACATTTTAGAGTGGTGACATGGTTTAAGGTTAGGGTTAGGGTTAGGCAAGTAGTGGTTATGTTTAAGGTTAGGCTAAGTCTCCAGGAAATGAATGTAAGTCAATGTAGTGGACTCAACAACGTGTGTGTTTATATTTTTGTAACTACCATTTATTTCTGTTCCTTCTAGTTTTTTAAATTAGTTTATATAACGTACTTTACTGTAGAACTTCCCTGCATGATTGTATAAATATGCATATATGGAATTATTGAAAAAGCTATACAAATGTGATTCTCTTGCTGGAGCATTGAACAGCAAACATCCCTACACCTGTGTACACAGACTCTACATCCGTGTTTTCTTCCAGACTATGAATGCTGTACAACAAACACTTTCTTATAAAAGCATCCAGTATATTGTCAATTTATTGTCTAAACTGACTGCCAGATCTTGAAGATGTTTCACCAGTCATCCAAGAGGTTTCATCTCATCCTGATATAAACTTCAAACAACCGCCATTTGCTGGTTTGCTTAGCTCATTTGGTTAACAGCAGCAGCTTCCACTATAATAAACCCTGCTGCTATGCCAATATTGACATGTTGGAAGTCCCTAATCGGATAAAGGCAGAGCTTGCCAAAGGCACCGAGACACTTATCTAAACTGTCTGCTCATATCTGATGTGAGACTACAGTGGCAATATGCCTGCTAGCTATGATGAGCTGTGCTGCAAAGAGAATCTCGGTGCACTTTATAGTCCTGCTATTGAAAAAACCTCATATTTACCAGCCGAGATGTCACTCTGGCTTCAGACTATGGGACTTGTGCTAAAGCCCACAAAACTGGGAGTTGTTTGCTGAGTGACTCTGCTTTGTTTATTGTTCCCACAATAAAATTAATATTTCAAGCTGTTTATCTAAATAAATCATAAATTACTTTGCTGTCAGTAATCACTCTCATTACAGTTTTAACAGACAGATTTACATGTTACTGATGGACATCAATTGAGATTTTCTTTGTGTAATATTGGACAAAGCAGCTAACCAGCTAGCCATTACGGTAAATACATACACAGATGATAAATCCTCACCTTGGCCTAGCTTTTGGCAGTTGTGTTGCTCCTGCTGTTGCTGTTGTCTGCAGGCTAACTTCTTCATCTGTAAATAAATAAACACAGTAAACAGCTTGGCTTGACACACTGGCAAAATAAACAAATGTGAACGATTTCACTTGCCAACCTCCACTAAATAAAATATCACATTATTAGCTGATGTCTGAGGGGTGATATGCAGCTCCCTTACAGTAGGTATAGTCAAATGTCACCTGAGACCACAACCACAAACTGTGCTCCCTTTGACTGCTTTGAACATTGTGTTGCTTTGAGTAAAGTGTCAGTGTTCAACAACCATCCAGCCACCAGTGATCATCTACAAGTGAAAATATATGTCATCACAAATAATTATTAGAAATATATGTATATATACATATATATACATATATAT